ATTCCTGCATATTATCTGGGAGTCTATCTGCCATTTGAAAAACGACCTAAATGTCTACAGTGGCTTTCTGGTAAGCAACATCATCTTGTCTTAGTCAGTGTGTCAAAATCTCAAATGCCTGATCAGAAGGCAGAAAGAATATTTTTTCTTAGAATCCTTCTTTGTGAAGTTTTACTATGCTGTATAAAGCATTTCTGAGATCATTTCCTTTGTCACATGGTCCTGAAAACAAAACTCTGCAATCCTATATAAAACAGTCCAGTATGTGGGTATATATAGTCATTTATTACTTGTGGTGTTGAGCCATTTCAAGGTGTTGGCTCAGTAAAAGCCACACAGGATTATAAAGACTTAATGTGTGGTTTGATACCCAGGAAGGCAGAAATACCAGGACATCATTGCTTCACTTTCTGCCCATGGAGTGGAACATCTCAGTCAGAGAAGAGCATCAATTTTTGTAAAAGATGAAATAATGAGTTATTGGCCTGAAGGGTCATTTCCGCTGCTCAAAATCAGGCTTCATTTTGTTTCCTGAAAAACAAAACTTTAATATTTGTGTTCAGTTTGAATGCAGCTACTAGTATGACAATTCAATGAAAACATTGATTAAAGTCTGATTAAATTAGATTTTATGTGTCATTTTTGAGATTCTTTTGCCTTTAGCTATTTATAACGTGTTTAATACAATTGATTAAAGGGTTTTCTGATTTTTCTAATATCTGTGTAGTGTTTTCAAATCCTTAAAATCTAGTATTTGTCTAAGATACATTATAACTGTATCACACATTTTTGCTATGTTTACAGCTACATCGACAAAATATGCTCAGATGCTCTTCTACTGTGCTCTGTCAGACCTGGACATCGACATGGAACCTACAACAGCTAAGAGTAAATAGAGTTGCCTTGACATTGAGAATTGTACCTTGACATTTTCTATCTGTAGCAATTTTTATCATCTGAAGTTCTCCCCATGTGTTCAGTTATACTAAAGCACTAACTATGTACTATGCATCAGTTTGATATCTTAATTTGTGCTTGTTTTATAAACCATTCTGTTTTACAGACCTTTTTTTTTTTTTTTAAACTCTGTTAATAATGAGTGTTATACTTCGAAACTTTGAAGCACTGTATGAACAAACCTAGTAGATATGTGCTAAATATTAGATTAATTGAAAATTTGTAATAAAAAGTATTAGGTCTCATCCCAATCCTAAGATAACAAAAGATAGACCAGATATTTGCAGGACTGAAAGCCTGAGTTGGGACATAGAAGCCATGGTGTACTTCTAAATATATAACTAAATTCTTAGCCAAAGTAAAAAATAAGTAATTCAAACTGGTAGACATACTTTGAATCAATGTAGTATTTGTGGTAAACTATTCCAGCGCATATTTCCCAGCATACATATTGTACCAAAAAGAGAAAACTAGAGTTTTCAGTCCTTTAAATTCTGTCAGAAATTCTCATTCGACAATAGCCCACATTCATTACATTTTGCAGAAAAGCTATTTTGAATGAACAAATTATATCATTGTAACTGAAGTACTTTTGCTTTCCAGCAGAACAATCTGCAAGGGAGTGCTGTTAGGGACTGAATTATGTTCCAGCTAGATTATATTCAGGGAAAACATCTCACCTTTTCATATTGTTCATTGCTTGCCTAGAAATATCAAAGGTGAGACTACATGAATCATACTAATTTTTTCTACAGTGGAACTTATTTAAAAAATTCACAAGGAAAAATCAAAAACTATTGGTGTTTACAAGCTCACTTGAGTCCCTACCCAACCCTCTATGCTTCACCAGTTCCTGCTGGCAAGGTAACTTGCAGGTCTCCTACTGAGCATGCAGACAGCACGGGCTGTCAGGACTTCACATCACGTAGGTGGTGCCTGTTGCACAATACCCAGCACCGACCCGCACGTGTGCTGGACAAGTCACTCACTGGTGAGTGCCATGAAAGTGAAGGAGAGTTAAGAACTAGGATCATCTCTTGAACATAAAAGTTTTTCAGCGTGGCTCCTGAAATGGAACTGATAATAACTGTCCTTTTTAAAAAAGCCATCAGCCTTGCAATCTAGACCATAAAAACAGCTTCTCCAACTCTAACATGCTTTGTTTATATGTAGTATTGTTTGTTATCCTTCTTGCTAAGTCATATCCTTTCTGTAATTATGTTTGAATATAGCATACATTGTTTCTAATTTGAGTTTCATCATTCCTATTCAATTCATGCTAATTAAGGTAATTTGATCTTACAGAAGTCCCTATAGTTTCTAGCATTATTGTCTTTTATTGATGCCCAGAGAAAGAGCAGTGGAATAAGGAAGAAGGCAATTGTTGCTGCTTAAACCCTTCTTCATTCCCTCCCACATTGTTAAGTTCATTTGGAGGACTGTAATTTCATGCATCTCCAATACTGTGTTTGCTGACAGGGCTTCTGTGAAACCTTATATTTACATGTCAATGCCACCTGCTCTGGCAATTTCCTCTCAGCTGGGTTTTCTTTTGATACAAAGGAGGAAAAAAAACATGCACTACGTTAAGGTAAACATGTTTTGCTTTTTTGGAAGCCACAGCTTTTGTGCACTAAAATCATTTAAGTATCACAACCATAAAATACAGAGGAAAGAAGACCTAGGGTGTAGCTTAGTTTACCCAGCTCAGAACATCCCCACATACTTACTCTTCACATGTACAACACATGCTTCTGTTACAGTATAGTACCATTTTGATCCTGCTCAACAATTTTATGGAAATATGGTGGGTTTGCCCCATTTCTTGCAAAGCACTGGTTAACAACAGAGCCACAATCCCAGACTGTATCAGGGCACAATGCAATTACAAGCCCTACAAGTTGGTGTCAAAGTAAACATGGCAGTCATTGTCTCCAAGAGTTCAAAGTCATGCTTGGTGCTGAGCAATGTATCACACCAGGACATCACTGTACCATCCTCTGAAGTTTTTCCTTGCAGGACCAAAGTTCCTAAGTGATTTGAGACATCTGAAGTGACATCTCAGGTGGTAACAAGTAACAGGCACTACAGGTAGTGTAATAAGAACTACAGACTAAAGACAATTTCCATAAAGAATTGTGAGCTGAGAAACTTCTTTTTTGCCTGTTTTTTGTCAAAAATCTGCTTTTACAGGAATCTGTTAACTTTCTGGTCATGACACACAAGCCTTCATTTTATTTCTTTCTGGACAGAAAGAAAGTAATAGTCAGATGGAAGATTATAAATATGAATAACATTACTGGACATGGGAATACAGCATACTGTTATGGACAGCAGAATCTCAGAAATGTTGATGTGTTTGTTGATTTTTCACTCCTTACAAATAATACATGTAAGTTATTGTCAAATATCTAAAGCAAGTCTTGATACTGATGTTTTTAAATTAATAAACATATCCTTGGCAAATACTATAGTATTGTGAATTAAATTTGCCCTGCCTTACATCTCACAAGTTGGTTTCTCAGGAAAGCAATGAGATTGTAACTCTTATTTGTGTTTTCTCTAACATAACAAAATAAACATTTGTGGAAGGAAAAAAATTTCTGCTTACTCCAGGTGGCACTACAGTTACGAATAATTCTTTACCCAAGCACTTTCTTGTTCTAAGAGTAAACATATTTTTCTACTTTATTCACAGATGTTCAATTATGCAGTCAAACAATAAACACTTTTACTTTTTTTAGGATGGTCTTGGCACCCAAGATAAGCACCTTGTTGTCACATAACAAAATATAGGAGTAGGCTGTTGACATCTAGTTTATCAGCTGCCATCTCTGCAGTGGAAGGGACTGGGGTATGGATAGTGCTGGAAGCCTTTGGAAGGCATAGCCCATGGAGGTGCAGCCTGTGCTGCAGCAGCTAACAGGAGCCTGGCTGGCTGCAGGGACAAGAGACCACGGAGAACAGCCCACCTGCAGAGCAAAGAAAGGATCTTTCAAGGGCAAAAGCTGGGGCAATGCAGCACTTGAGAGTAGTATTAGCTCTTCTTTAGGAATCATGAAAATACAGGATTCTTGGGTTTTTTTAAGAATCACAGATCTTTGAATAACAACAGAAGATGCATCAGTGTCAGATTGCATTTCTGTCTCAGCAAACAAAACCAGAAGTTAGTGTTGATACAGGAAAGACTAATTGTCAGCCACAGAAAGCCTGAAGAAGATGTCTGGGCTTTGAATGAGCCTGAAGAGGCTTAAGGGCTGTTGTGTGCTCCCTGGCTACAGTGGTGAAGAAATGCCTTCTTCACCCATTAGGTATCAAAGTGTGAAACAACCTGACAGATAAATGGCCTGACAGCCATATCACAGCTGTTACAGGACAAAGTGCCTTCAGCACACGTTTGACTTGAAACTGAAGATACTTCCTAAAGATCTTTTCTTGAAACTTACCTTCACTGTTGGAACTTCAGAAGTATGATTGCATTGTATTTGCCAATTCCCTGTTCTCAACCAGATAAGCTATCAGGTTTTGTACATCTTCCCATTTTTTTTTCTGTAGGATTCAGTTTTGACTTAGGAGGGGTGGCAGCCAAGCAACTATGTGAAGTGCTGTAATTTTCCAAGTGTTTCAAAAGATCTAACATTTAAAAAAAAAAACTAATAAAAAAAAACAGAAAAAGAAAAGGAAAAAACAAAGGTGAATGAGGAAAATAAAATGCAAGCCTTAACAAGATGCCACACAATAATGGGGGAATAGCTTGTGCATCAGGAGTCTGGATAATAACCACAAGAAATTAGAAGTGCTTATTGAGGAGCACACATTTACTGTAATGGATGTCACTGAAAAACCTGCAAGATGAGTGGGCTACTGGAATGTCTGGTTAATAGCTAGCTAGAAAGGTCAGTATTAACTGAGTCAGAATAAGGGTTTGGAATTCAGTGTACATGGCCATGATTTTGAAACAGTAAAGGTCAACATTAAAACAAGTGATCATGAGTCAATGCTCTTCTAACAGAAAGAATAAATAAGAATTAATTGGTTAATAATGCAATTCAGTAAAAAACACAGTAGAAATTAGTAGGAGTTTTAAAAGCTAGTCACCCAAAATGTGCTGTGTGTCAGGTAGTGGAACTGAATATACTTCAGCATACAAATAGAACAAAGATTAATTCAGCAGTGTATTTACTTAGTGCTCAGAAATGTTCGTTTCAAAGAGCCAAAACCAACAGTGAGTCACACCTGCTGGGGGGAGGGCAAAAAGAGCTTAAATTGGGAAAAAAAGTACTTGAGGCTGTTTATAACATTCTGCCAACATGCAGAAACCAGAAAAGAGAAAGGAACATGTTCAGATTTGAAATGGTAATATATCCTTCTTCTTTAGAAAGGAAATGCAGAGTTGTTTAGAAATAGAAAAAATAATTTTTTTATGGTAATGACTATAAGTTCAAGACAAGCATTTGAAGAAGATGCCTGACCTGTTCAGGTGTGCTTCTACAATAGCACAAAAGAAGAATTTCAGAACCTGGTTGCAATAACATGGTATGTACTTGGATCAAAATACGCTCCTTCTGATGATATTACCTTATTTCTGATGAGCCATTGCTCTTGCCCCTACCACACCAGCACATAAGGAAAGCTGCGAATTAATTTCACCTTTCTCTTGCTATTTTAGGACTTAGATCCTGTCTGGCTCAGAGTGCGTGTAGCCATGGAAGCAGAATTCAGAATTGCCGGTGGAGTTGCATTTGACGCCACGAGAGGGAGAGCTCCTTTGCTTTATGCTCTTC